TCCGGTGGAAGACGTCCTGGCAGCCGCCAGCTACCTGCACATGTACGACATTGTGAAGGTGTGCAAAGGAAAGCTGAAGGATAAGGAGCTGTGTGAGGCGGAGTGCGGCGAGAAGGCAAACGGCCACTCCGACGGGTAACAGAGTATGATACTGCATGTATATAAGCTACCCAGGCAAAAAAAAAGTGCACTTCCATAATATACTTAAAGTGCTCTATTTTTTGCACACTAATTTTGTACTTAGTATACTAAAAATGACTCTTTAGTACTTCTTAAGAGGAGACACTGCAGGCAAAAACACTGTTTTTTCATGCACCTGTCAAGTTTAAGATTTTGGGCTTTTTGTTTTTTTCAGACTAGTGGAACGAAAACATCCAAAAGACACTGTTAAGTGTTTTTTTTACAGCACTTTATCTATTTGTGTCAATAGATTTCAATTACAATGCATATTTTTAAAGGCCGTTTTCTCCTACACTGAGCCATAAATCTGCACTTCAGTAGCACTTACACACACCAAACTTTACATTTTTTATTCCTGTCTGTATCCTGAAGGTTTTTTTTCCCAGAGGGATTTGTTCATATATAATTTGCTTGATTATATACAACATTTTATTCCCCCAAAACTATGAAAATATATTGTTTTCTGTCTGTTCTAAGTATTTTGTGAATTATGGACTGACAAAAATGAGATACCCAAAATTCCCTCTGTAAAAACTTGTCAAAAAATTAAACAAGGATTTTGAAACTGACTTCATCCAGTGTTTACATTTTTTGTACTAGAAATGTATGCAAATTAGCGCATATTTCATTAAATTATGCCTCATTTGCATATTTAAACCTAACATTTTTGCTATTATCAATGTAATCAATCAACTGGGTAAGGAAGGCAATAACTATTAGTTAATTTATTTACCCTATTCACCTGCAGTGTCTCGCCTAAAGATAAACTTAAGATCATCTAAGTGTTCTCAAGTGTGCTATTTTGGGACACCATGAATATGAACTAAAATGCTCTTTTAACATACTATCTCTGTATTTAAAAAATGTATTTAGACATTTTTGAACCATCTTTCATACACTAGTACACTCAAGTGTACTCCTAATACATTTTTTAAATACAAAGTATGTTAAAAGTGACCTTTATGTTGAATTAGAAGTGAAATAAAAGTAGCTTGAAACTACTGTTGCAGCACAAAAGCAGTCTTAAGTCGCTGGGGTATATTTGTAGCAATAGCCAACAATACATTGTATGGGTCAAATTACGCTTCATATTAACTACCATTTAACACTTAATCACATTAGAAATCTAGTACTTTCTTACTTGTACTCAAGTAAAATTCAGAGTTTTACTTAAAAAGTACTACATTTTCAATGTTCTTAAGTATTAAAAGTAAAAACTTTTATTTATGAAATATAGTGCAGTAAAAAGTATGACATTATGCTTTGGAATGTAGTAAAAGTAAAACACTCTGATAAAGTACAGATACTTATTAAATTTACTCGAGTAAAGTAAAAATACTTCACTACTGTCCACCTCTGCATGATGTTGTATCAGAAAGATTTTCTGTGAGATAAAGCCTCTTTTTTTCTTTTTGTTGTGCAAGGTCCCCGGATCTTGTAGGTGTCAATTATGTGTCAGCCGAGGCCGAGGCCTGTGTCCGAACAGCTGGAAAAACAAAAGCTGATGTCAGTAGTTCGGCCGTCCCCGTGTCCCAGAGGTCCCGGGCGTCGGATGACACGGACCGCGCGCTGGATTTGTCTTTCAAGCCTCTGTCGAGTCGAGACGCCTTCCACCCCTCCTACGTCTTGGGACAGCTGGCCCTCGACAACCAGCAGCAGGGCACCGAGCCACTTGTTAAAGACGAACATGACTTGCTGTCAGAGCAGGAGAACGGTGATCCGGTGAGCCCAGAGAGCCAGCGCTTTGGGAATATCGCCAGGAGTTCGGTGGTGACAGGGTTCGCTGCCCTCTTCCCTGAAAACAAGGCCACGGCTGCGCTGCTCCCTCCGGACGATGACCTGATGGAGGAGGAGAGTGGGCTGCGTGTGCGTTCGGAGCATCATCTCAGGGACAGCGAGGGCGAGGATGAAGACGACCTGGCGTCCTCAGACATCTCCACATCTAGCGGGGTTCTCCTCGCGCCGGGTAGACAGCAGGTCTGCGTGTGTCCGCTCTGCAGCAAGGTCTTCCCGAGCGCACATGTGCTCCAGCTCCACCTCAGCTCACACTTCAAGGAGAAAGACGGCATTCGCTCGAAGCTCTCGCCTGACGGCTCCGTCCCGACCTGCTCGCAGTGCGGCAAGACCTTCTCCTGCATGTACACGCTCAAGCGGCACGAGCGCACGCACTCCGGCGAGAAGCCGTACACCTGCGGACAGTGCGGGAAGAGCTTCCAGTACTCACACAATCTGAGCCGGCACGCCGTGGTGCACACACGAGAGAAACCACACGCGTGTAAGTGGTGCGAGCGGCGCTTCACACAGTCCGGCGATCTGTACCGACACATACGCAAGTTCCACTGCGGCCTCGTCAAGACACTCGCTATAGGATGAAGGCAGGGCAAACGCGGTGCAATCACGGCCTTTTGTATAAAAACAACAGCAGTTTTTATGAAGAATAATAATAATAATAATATCCAGTATTTTGCAGGTGGCAGAAAATTGGTTCATTAATGACTGTAAAACACTATTGTGTCTCCAGCAATCAACAGTTTGATGCACTTGGGTTTTTGACATCATATATATATGACCCTGGAGCACAAAAGCAGTCTTAAGTCGCTGGGGTATATTTGTAGCAATAGCCAACAATACATTGTATGGGTCAAAATTATCAATATTTCTTTTATGCCAAAAATCATTAGGATATTAAGTAAAGATCATGTTTCATGAAGATATTTTGTAAATTCCCTACCGTAAATATATCAAAACTTAATTTTTGATTAGTAATATGCATTGCTAAGAACTTCATTTGGACAACTTTAAAGATGATTTTCTCAATATTTAGATTTTTTTGCACCCTCAGATTCCAGATTTTCAAATAGTTGTATCTCGGCCAAATATTGTCCTATCCTAACAAACCATACATCAATGGAGAGCTTATTTATTCAGCTTTCAGATGATGTATAAATCTCAATTTCGAAAAATTGACACTTATGACTGGTTTTGTGCGCCATTATTCAGATTCAGATGATGTATAAATCTCAATTTCACAAAATTGACCCTTATGACTGGTTTTGTGCTCCAGGGTCACAATTCTGAGTTCTGATCGTTTGAAACTCACGACCAAATGTCCATTTGTGACAGTCGATATAATGTAGCTGCATGAACTTTCTCAATGGCCTTCAGTGTGTTTTCAAGCCCGAGAGCTGGACAGTAGTGAAGTATTTTTACTCTGCGCTAAAAGTACTTTTCAGGTGTCTGGACTTTATCAGTGTTTTTCTTTAGAACACTTTTACTTCACAACATTCCAAAGCACACTTTTTACTGCATTACGCTTCATATTAACTACCATTTAACACTTAATCACATTAGAAATCTAGTACTTTCTTACTTGTACTCAAGTAAAATTCAGAGTTTTACTTAAAAAGTACTACATTTTCAATGTTCTTAAGTATTAAAAGTAAAAACTTTTATTTATGAAATATAGTGCAGTAAAAAGTATGACATTATGCTTTGGAATGTAGTAAAAGTAAAACACTCTGATAAAGTACAGATACTTATTAAATTTACTCGAGTAAAGTAAAAATACTTCACTACTGTCCACCTCTGCATGATGTTGTATCAGAAAGATTTTCTGTGAGATAAAGCCTCTTTTTTTCTTTTTGTTGTGCAAGGTCCCCGGATCTTGTAGGTGTCAATTATGTGTCAGCCGAGGCCGAGGCCTGTGTCCGAACAGCTGGAAAAACAAAAGCTGATGTCAGTAGTTCGGCCGTCCCCGTGTCCCAGAGGTCCCGGGCGTCGGATGACACGGACCGCGCGCTGGATTTGTCTTTCAAGCCTCTGTCGAGTCGAGACGCCTTCCACCCCTCCTACATCTCGGGACAGCTGGCCCTCGACAACCAGCAGCAGGGCACCGAGCCACTTGTTAAAGACGAACATGACTTGCTGTCAGAGCAGGAGAACGGTGATCCGGTGAGCCCAGAGAGCCAGCGCTTTGGGAATATCGCCAGGAGTTCGGTGGTGACAGGGTTCGCTGCCCTCTTCCCTGAAAACAAGGCCACGGCTGCGCTGCTCCCTCCGGACGATGACCTGATGGAGGAGGAGAGTGGGCTGCGTGTGCGTTCGGAGCATCATCTCAGGGACAGCGAGGGCGAGGATGAAGACGACCTGGCGTCCTCAGACATCTCCACATCTAGCGGGGTTCTCCTCGCGCCGGGTAGACAGCAGGTCTGCGTGTGTCCGCTCTGCAGCAAGGTCTTCCCGAGCGCACATGTGCTCCAGCTCCACCTCAGCTCACACTTCAAGGAGAAAGACGGCATTCGCTCGAAGCTCTCGCCTGACGGCTCCGTCCCGACCTGCTCGCAGTGCGGCAAGACCTTCTCCTGCATGTACACGCTCAAGCGGCACGAGCGCACGCACTCCGGCGAGAAGCCGTACACCTGCGGACAGTGCGGGAAGAGCTTCCAGTACTCACACAATCTGAGCCGGCACGCCGTGGTGCACACACGAGAGAAACCACACGCGTGTAAGTGGTGCGAGCGGCGCTTCACACAGTCCGGCGATCTGTACCGACACATACGCAAGTTCCACTGCGGCCTCGTCAAGACACTCGCTATAGGATGAAGGCAGGGCAAACGCGGTGCAATCACGGCCTTTTGTATAAAAACAACAGCAGTTTTTATGAAGAATAATAATAATAATAATATCCAGTATTTTGCAGGTGGCAGAAAATTGGTTCATTAATGACTGTAAAACACTATTGTGTCTCCAGCAATCAACAGTTTGATGCACTTGGGTTTTTGACATCATATATATATGACCCTGGAGCACAAAAGCAGTCTTAAGTCGCTGGGGTATATTTGTAGCAATAGCCAACAATACATAGTATGGGTCAAAATTATCAATATTTCTTTTATGCCAAAAATCATTAGGATATTAAGTAAAGATCATGTTTCATGAAGATATTTTGTAAATTCCCTACCGTAAATATATCAAAACTTAATTTTTGATTAGTAATATGCATTGCTAAGAACTTCATTTGGACAACTTTAAAGATGATTTTCTCAATATTTAGATCTTTTTGCACCCTCAGATTCCAGATTTTCAAATAGTTGTATCTCGGTCAAATATTGTCCTATCCTAACAAACCATACATCAATGGAGAGCTTATTTATTCAGCTTTCAGATGATGTATAAATCTCAATTTCGAAAAATTGACACTTATGACTGGTTTTGTGCTCCAGGGTCACATACACACACACACATATATATATATATATATCACATATACATGTGTGTTAAATATATTGAAATATAATTAAAATATAATGTATATTTCATAAATAAATGTTTTTTAACTGATATATACATTAAAATATATATTATTTTATATATTTCACACACATATATATATATACTTAAATATATACATGTGTATATAAAACAGTTTATATATACATATGTTATATATATATATATACATACAGTATATATATAACGTTTTTAACTATATATATATATATATATATATATATACATACACACATATACACACTATATACTACACACATACATGATGTCAAAGTCTCAGATGCATCAAAATATTGATGAACATTAAAAAAGAAATGTATACATATATATATATATATATATATATGAATGCAGTGCACTGATTAAACAGTTCTGCAGCTCCGTCCAGAAGATTTGCTTTTGTATCTGCTGTAATTTATTGCAAATCATTTGAGCGCCATGACAGAGAAAGTTTTGAAGTACTGTATGTTCATGATTTCATAGTTTTTCTGCGTAATCGCATGTCTTAAGTCCAGACGGGCAGATTTGATTTACGCTGTTACAGTTGTGTGTGTTTATCTCCTGAAGAGCTTCGTCACTGAAATGTTTCACTGAAGCACTTGGCAACATTTAAAGTGACGTCGCCTTTTAAAGCTACTGGCTCTCGGTCCGGATTACGTGGCTTTCTTTTAGTCGAGGACTGGATTTGAACCGACCCTCATCAGATCAAAGCGTTTTGATGGTGATCTGGGTTTAGAAGGCATGAAGGACTAGTTAAGCTCATACTAATATCAGAAGAACGTTGATTCTTCTAATCGTTTTTTTTAACATCTACAGGAATATTTCATATCTCTTTCTGCAAACAGAAATATGGTTGAACCACTGCTGACTGAATCTCAGAAATGTTTTGAAGGTGTTTTCTGCTCATTTGAGGGATTCTTTATGTAACTAGCACTAAAAACCCACGTTATGCTGTACGTTTCATCGGTCCTGATAAACTTGATTAGTTATTTATTAGCTGGTTTTGGTTCAGGGTTTACTCTAGACTTGATGTTTAAAGCTGATATTTGCTCTCTAATGTTGGGATAATCGATCAGTTGCTGTATGTGAGAACCTGATTTCATCGACTATCGAGCACTTCACTGATAGATACAACACTCATATACCGTAGGCTGCTATTTCTAACTGTATATTTATTGTAAATATGTATTTTATTTATCAGATCATTGTCACATTTCGTTTAGGATGTAGTATGACTGAAATCTCTGGTAAAAGCTGCAGTTTTTCACAGTCTTCCAGTTAAAATCGCTGTCGTTATCTGAGGTTAAAAACTGTTGGATCACAAGCACAAACATCTGAATGATATGAAGACTAATAATCTACAATTATGATATTTCTGATGATGCACATGTAAAAGCAAGCGTGCATCATATTCTGTTGCATATCTGCATCATGATTCAGTTTATTGACAATTTACAGTTTATTGTCATGTTTTTGTTTGTTTTTTACATTTTCATTTCTGTGCAAATTAATATCATGTTACGCTGGAGTTTGTGGGATTTCACATGCTGGGGATTTTTGTGCATTTGAATGTTTTTCTTATTTTGACGATCGTATGTACGCTGACACTGTTCCTCATTCGAGATTCACATTTCTGATGCTATTCAACATTCATAAAAGCCAATATATGAATGCAATAATGAAGTCATCAGGATTCAGTGTTTCTGCTGTCAGATTTCTTTTAACACGATGGAGGTGTTTCTCAGTTCAGTCTGCTGTATATGTACATTAATACCGGATTATTGTCTTCTAAAGGTTCAGACTGTGAAACTGTATAATCGTAAGTAATATTTATTGATTTGTTTCTTGTGCAAAATTTGACTGTATCTCAGAATTTTGACTTGATGATACTAAGTTGAGACTTTTTAATAGACTTTGTAGAAGTGCCATTAGATGTAATATAATTTTTTGATAAACAAAAGCATATTTTATAGGAAACAAAAGCTTCATTGTAAGTCCTCTAGTGAATGTAGATGACAATCTGTTTGAGTTGATTTTGCCTGAATTCTTTGGTAATTTATTTGGATTCTTTGTTGGTTTGTGTGTTTCTGCTTGCTTTGCTCTCTTTCTCTTTCTTTCTTCATTCTCGGGCACATTGTGCCTGTTTGTTTGTGCTGTGAAAATGTGACAATCTTTATCTAGATCTTTAATTGGCTGAAGTGTAGATTAAACAACATTTTATGTGGAATTGTGCTTGTTTTTTTTGTTTTTTTTAATGATGCTTGAGCGACGTTGCATTTCAGAAAAACTGCATTCAGAACAATATGAATATTTACCAGAAGAAAAATTATGAAGAGTTACATGTAAAATCATCTTCAGTTTATCTTCATCTTCAGTTATGGAAAATCTGTGGATTTGCAATACCTTTAAAATGGCCTATAGAAGTTGTGAAAGTTACTAAGTGTGAGTGTAATCTCTGAAAAATGATTTTTAAAATTGTCATTCTAGGTGACTAGAAAAGTCATAGAAATGCATTGGTTAAATAAATCTGATATTTTTATAAGGGATATTAGAGAGAATTTGAGAGAAGAAATAATGGAAGATTTAAATTTTGTTAAATTTGAAACAAACAAACAAACATTAAGGAGTGGTTTATTTCTGTAGGGCTAAAAATAAAACAACCTAGATCAGACCAAAATATGTTTCCAATTAACTCTACCTGTAGAATCTAGTTAAATTAGACAGATGTCAACATCTTCATTAAACATCAAAACTACACAGTAAAAAAAAAGGGGGAAAAAAGGAAAATAATACAAAGATTGGTTGTTCTGTAGTTAATATAAATTCCATATTTTGCTCAGATTTAACTCTTTTTTTTTAGTGTAATTTCTATAAAATTATATATATTTTTAAATGCTGCAGGTGCCTGGAAAAGTCAAGGAAATGGGTGGGGTGAAATTTCAGAGTTGAATTCAAGAAGAAATAATGGATTTTTTTTTGTTCTGTACTTTTGAACAAAAATAATGTGCAATATAATAAAGTTGGCAACATATTCAAGGGATAAATCATTAGGGGTTTCATAATAAAAAATATTTGCTTCTGTAGGCCAGAAAAAAAATAATAACAATAAAAAATGAATGGAAATAAAAAATAACTTAAATCAGTCCAGAATGTGTTTCCAATCAAACTCTACAGTATTTTGGCATACGTTCATCATCTGTAGAATCTAGTTAAATTGTACAGATGTCAACATGGATGCCCTCATCTTCATAAAACATCAAGACTACACAAAGTAAAAGAAAATATGACCCAGGCGAAAATCTTAGTCTCTAAAAATTCTGGCATTAACATAACTTCCCTAGTTTCGCTCAGCTTCATTATTTCATTGCTCATTTTGAGTGTAATCTCAATAAAACGATGGAAAAAAACTCATGGAAAGTCATTGGCCAAATGCATGTGAACCAGGAACGAATGACCTCAAACGTCTTTCCAAGGAGTTTCCCGTCTGTCGGTGGAGATCTGTGCACAGAAAACACTTCAGCTTCTCCTCGATACAGAGGATGATGTGGATGTAAGATATAAAGCAGGTGCTTTACATTCAGTTTACACCCTTAAAAAGTTTTAACTCGTTTTTAACTTCCTCATTTCTTTAACGAAAGAACGCCTGCTTCACTGGATGCTCATCTGCATTATGAGCAAACAAACATCCACACCGGAGGAGGACAGAAAATGCGTGGCTAATTCGGAATCTCAAAGCCAATTCACTGGTCATTTTCTTGCTAATTATTCTCTGACTGCACATGTAAAGCAATCCAGCTGCTCTGTGGTGTGATTCCCATGACCCTGCCCCCATCCGACTCTTTTGTGTGCGGTTAGTAGTTTGGCGTGTCTATTGTCCGCTCCGGCGCTCAGGTTCTGCCCTGAAGCTCAGTGAACCGCTGCAGACCCGCGTGAAGGGGACGAGGTGTAAATAAGGGTGTGCGGCGGTCTGGCTGGAAATACTAGAATGTAAACCAGAGGCCCAGAGGATTACGCTTTACTGACATTTCACCTGCTGCCAGAGATCAGTCATATAATCAGAAACCAGAGGAGGAAAAACAACATTAAATGTTGATGATAAAACGGACGCAAGCGTCTAATTGTGCATAAATGAATCTGCTCTCAAATGGGAGGAGAAAACACGTTTTTTGATGTTGATGTCAAAGGTCATGTGACAATGAACAGGGAATCAAATTTATGTATGTATATAGCTCTTTTGACAATACACACAGTTTCACAGCAGCTTTGCAGGAAATCATAACGTTCATGTTTATAATATCTTAATATCTTCATGCCTTCTAGATGCAGATTAGAGTAATATTCTTAAAATTTTGCAAAGATATAGGCTAAACAATGTAAAAATATAAGCACCCAGCAACACCTTAGCAACAGTTAAGAGCAACCCCCTAGCAACCACTCAAAAAACTCCAACAACCCAATAGCAACCATTCAGAACGATAGAAAAATACATACTTGTATCAACAAGCTAAAAATGCTCACAACATGTGAGCAAC